CCCCCTCCCCCCCCCCCCCCGGGTTATTGTTGTTGTTGTTGTTGTGGCTGCTGCGGCGGCTTCTCCATTATGAGGGGGTTAAAATTTGTGGGGGCCTCAAACATGTTTTTGCCCCCCCGGGGGGGGAAAAAACCCCTTTTCCCCCCCCCCCCTTCCTTTGGGCCCGCGGGCCCCCATCCCGGGGCCCCAAAAAATTACCCCCCCTTAACCCTTCATCCCCCCCCCCCCCCCCCAAGAGACAGGGTAGCTGGGACCTACGTTGTTGCAGGCTTGCGCCCACACGTACAACAGCGCGCACGCACAGCCCCCGACCACGCGCGAACCTGCCCCGTGCACTGACCGGGAACAAAAAAACAAAAAAAAAATAAAACACGGCGAGAAGAACATATCTCTTGCGTGTTTTGGGATTGTGCTGTAGGGCTGCGCCTTGTTTGGCGCCCTCTCTCGACCAATCCCCCAATCGCATATCCGGTGTTTTGGCGGTGACAAAAAACACACGCCCATGAAGGAAACACCGGCTACAGCAGTACAACTGAAAACCGGGAAGAATGGTGATTGAGTACGGTCCATGCACAACAATTTGTCCATGCGTTTTGTGCGATATCTTTTTAAAGAAAAAAATTGAAACGCGAAACAACGATATTCGTGACCGCCTCGTCGAGCTACGTCGATAGCTGCAGAGTTTTTTTCATTTTGGGAAAATGCGACATTTTTGACCAAAATGATCCACGGAACCCCCTAAATCAGCATAGTACCCCTGTTTTCCTCCGCGGAGCCCCCATATATTACCACGGTGCCCCCCATTTATCACTGCGGAGCCCCCTCTATCACCACGTTGGCCCCCATTTTTGCGCCAAGGCACCCCCATTTTATGCCACGGTGCCCCCCCTGTGAAATTTCCCCGCGTCCATACAATACCCTTCTTATTCACTGTAATAATATAGACGCAATGCAGGACGAAAACACATGCACAGTCTATTCGCATGCACAACACTTCACTCTATCACTCTATATATAATTAATATATACAAAACTTTCGGAGGCAGTCAACCGCAAGGGAGTGCTGGAAAAAACAACAAGGCCCAACACAAAAGAAAGGGAACACGCAGCAGGCGCACAACAAACCCGGCAAAGCTGTTGAACAAACATTTATTTGTACAGCGCTGGCATGCGCACGCAAAACACACATCACGACCATCAAATCTGCCCCGCGGTCATGGGAGAGCGCATCACCAGCACCGGGTGGAAGCTCATGTTGCTGCGCCGGCTTCGGCTTCTTAGGAGCCGCCCGGCCATCGGCTCCGCGATAGCCGATCTTCTTCTTCTTAGGCCGCCCCCTAGGATTCCCCATGGTGCTTGCGTGGGTATTTTGTGTTCTTCGGGCTGCAAGGTGTGCGAGAGTTGTTTGTGCGTGTTTGTCGCCCACCAAAGCACACCCACCCATGGTGCGGCACAATATGTTGAATATCTCGAAAACTAGATTTTTCCCAGCAAAACCCCAAAACCCCCAACTGTAGATCGACGATAGGGATCGTTTGCCACTGTTTATTTTGAAATCGGTCGGGTGGTTGTCGCGCTGTAAACGAATCAAGTTGATCCTCTACATTCAGTTATTCTCTGATATCTCCTGTAATTTCGAGAATTACAAAAAAAAAACAAATCCCTAACCGCAGAATTCCGACATGTGTCCAAATCCGTTGAGTTCTTTGGCATCGGCAATAAACACCACCCTGTGTAAACGAATCAAGTTTTAAAGGTGTTTCGGGGATAAAAAGTCAAGGAAAAAAAAAAAAAAAAAAACTCTCCGTCACGCCATGCGCCTGGAAACAGGGCGTTTGCCGGTACTTTCAGATTTCGGAACAACCACCTGTGTGCAGAGAAAAGTTGTCATTTGTGCTGGGGGAATTTATGGATTCATTGTTGTGCACGGACTAGATATAGAAGAGCGTGTGTGTCGCCACGACGACAGAACAGAAAAAGGAAAACATGGTTCTTCCCCGCCCCCCCCCCCCCGCTCTTTTCCCCAATAAAAATGACATCTGTTCCTTGGTCCACCCGGTTACCTGGGCCAAGG